GATGTCGTTAATATTTTATTTCCCAGATTAACAACGAACTATACGCGCAGCTGCTTGATCTTGGATTTGACGACTTCACTGCACGTCTTGCTCTGATTCGCACTGCGAATACAGGTGTTGAAGAGGTACGCATTCGTTGTTGGATGGTTATTTTTCTTTCTTTTTCCACACAAAAAAGTCCACGTAGTCGATATTTACATTGTTATAATTATTGATCACTGAAATGCAAATAGGGGCGCGGTGTTCCAGCAGCGTGGCTTTTGCTTCATTCTTCACAGTTGTGTTCTTGTAAATTCGTCCTACCGATTACATTTATGTTGGCTACTATAAAAACTTCCGAATAAGAGTCGGGCTTAGATCATTTGGTACCATGACTGGCCTTTGCGTGTGAAAATCGGGGGAGATCGCGTAGATTACGGAAAGTAGTGTGTAACTATCTGAATCAGGTTGAGAGAAAAAGAGGGATAGAGGAATTCTTGTCGAAGTCTTTCAGAATTTTTTTTACAATTGTTCCTTTTTCTATGGAATCGGATTTCCGGCGCTATTTTAAGGAATGGGCATTGAGTGAAAAATTTCATGTAAAATTCTCAATTCCAATCACTCAAGGAGTTGTCAGAGGTACAAAGTAGTTGCTAAGTTGCTGTTCCATTGTTATATGAACTCTTTGTTTCTTTGTAATTTGTACGGAAGTTTGTACCGCATTATGCGAGAAGGAATATGTTCCAAAAAGGGGATCTCTCAGGATGGAGCGCCAGGGTGGGTGGACCGAATTCCTTCTCCTGAAACAGAGTTTAAAAAGAAAATTCAGGCGTCTTATTACACAGAAAAATGAGGAATAAAACGAAGAAATGAAGTCTCTGGACCAAAACAATCCAGACTAAGATTTTTGACATGTCTTTTCTGTTAACTTCTGTTAATCTGGAACACAAGTTTTAGCGGATCTTAAATTTCTTCACATGTTTTTTTTGTTGATCGTCTGGAAGTTCTGGCAATTATTGTACTGCTTTTCATGTTTTCTTTTGTTGGCAGCAAATGATCCCGTTTCTTTCGATACAGCCGATTTTTTTTCATAGCGAAAC